GTCTAGAGGGCAGAGTAACTATGATGACTGCTAGACTGATGGAAACTCATAAAACTTCCCTTTTTTGCTAAGATAGAGACAAAATGCATCAATAACATATATTTTAAAATTTATATATATATATATATATATATATATATATATATATATGCACATACACATATTAACCTTTCCTCTTTCAATCCATCAGACTTTTAAGCAGCAAAATGAAAGTGGCTAAATTTTAAGAATTAAAGCAAATACAACATGTGCTAAGAACTAGCCAGGTTCACTGGCAGTTGTGAGAAAGTGCTAAAATCATTTTTTCTTTAAAAAGGAAAAAAGAATTGAAAGAATAATAGCTGTTGATTTATTATTCATGTCTTTCATTTTGTAGGACTTTCATAAAATTATTATTTTGCAAAATACAAATGGCAGTTGCTTGCAGACTGTGACCTATCCTGAAGTTGGGTTTAATCAATTTAATCTGATGACAAAATGAATTAAACTTTTTTCTTGTTGAAGAACACAAAGGGCAGGGGGAAATAAAAGATAATATGTAAGTTAATTAGATCAATTGTAAGACAGGCAGTACATATAACAAATTCAATTTCATTCCTAGCTACTTCTTATGCTTGACAAAAAGCAGCTTCTAATATTTATCCAGTTGTTAAATACTTAGGGGATTAAAATCCAATTTATAGATTATTCACATATCTTGCTGATTCTCCTGCTCTTTCTTCTGCTGCCTGACTTTTGGTAAATTCCTTGCTTATAAACAACTCCACCAGAAGGTCAGAATGGGAAAGAAAAGAATGAAGTTCTCAAATTAGCCAATCTGGCCAATGGAAACAGGTATCTGTCTGATTTAGTGGGTGTCTGGGGGTGGGTTATGGAGGAGGAATGAAAACCATAATATTGATAAAAATGAAGATTCAAAACGACTTCTGAATTTTATTTTTTCTTGCTATCGCTTTCTCTTACTACCAGACAATTCAGAGTTAATTGAGGTTAAATAATCTTTGAACATGCTTCCTTTTGAAGCAATACATACAAAATAGGGAAGTTGTCTAAGTTTCCATCAATGTCTATTTAAATTGGTAGCTTGACCTTTGAAGTTTCTTTTTACTTCCATCTTCTGGAGCAAGTGTGAATTCTGTTGCATAGTTTACTTTTTTTTTTAACAATAACACATAATAAAGCTCAGTAAGGATCATTCTTGCAGGTGAAAAATGTAATAAGACACACATTTATTTATAGATCTTGCATCTGCCTGGCTTGGAGGCAGATGCAAGTACCACTTAGAAAATCCAGGCCAGTATTTTATTTCTAATAACAAAAAACTGGAGTAATCTCTATGTCCAAACACTATATAAGTTGATGTTCTCAACATCACAGATATTATCATGTTGTAAACAATGATAAATATGAAGAAATATGGATAAATATATAAAGTGATATAAAACAGAAAACAGAATTAGAATAAAATATTAACTAAGTATATTAAAAACAACAATGCAACTAAGTATGCAAGTGAAAAAGATTGAGAAAGAGACATAGTTGTCATTTTGTTAAAATTTATATATTTCCTTCCCTCCCCTTTTTTAATGCTACTTACTATAATGTAAACTCCTTGAGGCCATGGACTTCATGGTTTTTGTCTTTGTATCCCATTCCTAGCACCTAGAATAGTGCCTTGCACACAGTAGATACAAGAACTTCCAACTGAATCAAGTTCTGTACATTCTAATCAGATGCCTTTGTAGCACGGACATAACTCTGGGTTCTTGAAGGCTATGCCAATAGAGCCTAAGCTCTGGCTTTTAATACAATATTAGAGAAAAATTATATATTTGTCATCCCGGAAACAGCTAGCTAATTCAAAAGAAGGTCTATCACCAGGTTGAGCATGGAGTGGAAGGAAGGCTGCTGGAACCTTCCAAGACCACTTTCTAATTTGTAGAGCAGTTAAAAATCTTCATTGGTAAAGAAGGTACCCACACTAACAAAAGTCACAGATCCTTAAAATATCAACATATAAACACCATATGGTTTTATTCCTCATTTTATTTATTTGATTGTTCACATTTTTTTTTAAATAGAAACAAACCATGTTCAATGATTGGGGAATGGATGATTAAGCTGCCATATGAATAAAGGAAAAAGGTAACACGGCTGTTCTTTCAGTCATGAAAATCTGGGTTCAAGTCACTTAATATGCCAGGCAACTCTCTAAGAGCAAGTTACAGATAAACTGCCTATTTACATAGATGGAATTAGATTCTACAGCAGGAGTTTCCTACACTGAAGAAACCACAGGTAGAGAACCCCCCAAAATGAACATAATGGAATTTTGCTGCATGATGAGAAATAATATATATGAAAAATTCAAAAAATATGGGAAGGCTTACATGAAGAGGTAGAGGAAAAAGAAAGCAGATCCAAAAGCATTTATACACTGCCCTTTCTTTTTTGAGGAGGGTCATGAATATGGAGGAGCTCCAAGTGCAGAAATTCCTCCCACTGATCTAGACTGGTACAGTATCTTGTCTACCTATAACTTGCTGTTAGAAAGTTGCCTGTGGGGGGCAGCTAGGTGGCGCAGTGGATAGTGCTCTGGCCTTGGAGTCAGGAGGGGACCTGAGTTCAAATCCTGCCTCCGACATTTGACACTTACTAGCTGTGTGACCCTGGGCAAGTCACTTAACCCCCAATTGTCTCACCAAAAAAAAAAAGCGGGAAAAAAAAAAGAAAGTTGCCTGTGGTACTGAAGTTAATGATTTGCCCATGGTCACAAAGACGAAATATATCTGAGCAAAATTTGAACCCAGGTCCTTTTTGCTATTCGCTAAGTCTCACTACCACAAATGTGTACAGTTCTATGAGTACTTGGTCACAATCACTCTCTTCAGTTGCCTTGCTTAGCCATTTTGGGAAAGTATAGTTGTAGGAGTGGAATGTATGTTTGTATGTCTTGGCAAAACAAAATTTGTCAATAAAATATGATTAAATTTATTATTTTTTAAATGGAAGAAAAAGAAAATCTAGATTAAGTTAATTACTACAGATTCTAACTTTCTAAGGCCAGGAGGCTCCATAGAAGAGAAAAGAAAGGATGATAAATCAAAATTTCTATCACTTTGATTACAAAATAATACGACAGAATAAATACTTTGCCATCATCTGGAATTTTCTGTGTAGTGAGCAGTCACATTAGTAAAATGAAAACTGTGGTTAGAAAAACCCTGTAATCTGTAATTTGACAAAAAATCTATTGCAAATGATACAGTACAAGAAACTAATTTGGTTCCGTCTTGCTCCAGAGCTAGAACAAATAAATGGAAGAGGCTGAATTTTACTCAGTACAAAGGAGAACTTTCTAATAATTAGAGCTATCCAACAATGGAATGTGCTGCCTCATGAAGGAGTGAGATTCTTACTGCTGCAAGCATTCAAATAGAGGCTGAAGGAATACCTCTCAAGAATGTTATATATGGGGGCAGCTAGGTGGCACAGTGGATAGAGCACCGGCCCTGAAGTCAGGAGGACCTGAGTTCAAATCTGGCCTCAGACACATAATGCTTACTAGCTGTGTGACCCTGGGCAAGTCACCTAACCCCAACTGCCTAGCTAAAAAAAGGAAAGAAAAGAAAAGAAAAGAAAAGAAAAGAAAAGAAAAGAAAAGAAAAGAAAAGAAAAAAGAATGTTATATATGAGACACAGGAGAGTAAATGAACTAGATAACTAAGGTCTCTCCTCAAGTCTAAGATCCTAGGAACTTTTCAAGTTACCAAAGAGGATTAATGACAATTATCAAATACAGCTCCATTCTACATATCTTTGGTGGAAAGTGGACTTAATTTCCTAGTTATGTTTAATTTAAGCCAATATTAAAATTGGAATCATTGATTTTAGAGATTTGAGATAAATGATCTAGTCTGACCCCTTTCACCTTGCAGATAAGAAAATTATAGCCCAGAAAGTGCCACTGACATACCCAGATCATACAGCAAGTGAGTACGCAGAGCTGACACTAGAATCCAAGCCTTTTGTCTCAAGACCAAAGATGTTTCCACTGTAGCAATCAGACAGCATTTCAGTGTGTACAAACTAAACACTGGGTGAGGCAAGCTCAGAAACTGGCTGGGAAACAAATCCAATTTTTGCTTTTACATCTGCTGTGGATAACCACAAATTGGATAAGAGTTGATTGTATTTCACATAACCCCAGGACAGACTTGGTGACATTATTTCTAAGAAGAAATAAGTCTTAATGGAACAAGACTGCTAGGTCTTCCTATAGCATAATCTTTAATAAGAAGTAGAGAGAAAAAATGAATTTTTAATGAGCAAAATAAAAATTAGTGGATCTAGTATAATTTTTATATTACACAGTCAATAACTTACCATACTCCTGAAGAGCTATTGTTTTTCAAGATGAGCAAATGCTCTACAAAACAATTAAGATCAAATTTAGCAAAACTAGAAAGCTCATGTGTATACTCTTAAGGTCATAAATGTTAACTTGATTGTATCACTCTTCTTCGCTTAGTTTTATCTCCCTCCTCTGCTGCTTGTGAAACAGAAATGCAGCTACGTTTCAGACCAAGTTGAACAAGATTTAATTTGATCTTCAGACATCAAGAAGGATGTTAAAAACAAAACTTTTGTCTTTGCAAAAAGACCAAGGCAGCAAAATTCAAGATTAAAAAGCAAAATTTCAGAGTTGTTTGGAGGTTTTGTTTTTGTTTTTAAAAATTTGTAATATTTCTTTACAAAAAAAAAAACCATCCCAAGAAACAAAGTTGCAATCTGGATGTGATTAGACAAAACCAGGAAGAAGATAAAATAACAGAAGGAAGTGGCTTTTGATATAAGAATTTTCTACTCTATACAAGGGATCGGGCACTTAAAAAAAAAAAGGTGTGGGCAAGTTGCCATACTTTAAAAAAAAACCACACACAATAACTGGTTAAAATTTTAAAATGCCTAACGGGGGAAAAAGGGTTGGGATTTTAAAATTTCCTGTTTTGAAAATGTTTTATTTTCCTTTTTTCAATTTGTTAACATGAAAGCTTATTAGGCTTTCTATAACTTTATTACCCATTTGCTGAACAAGTTGCAAAGGTGTGAATTCTCCCATTGGAATTTCTGGATCAGCTTCAGCTTTCAGCAACAAATAACAAATATCCAGACGTCCTAAATAAAGAAAAAGATGGCAAAAAATATTCTAGATAGACTCACATTTCATTTGCATGGGCATAAAAACGTCTATAATCAAATACCATATTTTAAGTTAGCGAAAGACATGGACAAACCAATGGAAGGACCTCATTAATGTGATCACAGACTCTGAAGTATCTTAGAAGATAATTTTCCTTAAGTTTTAGGTTTTGCCTGTGTTTTGAAAGAGTTAAGAATTTGCATGTTGTCATATACCACAAGTAAAACACTTTTGGTTTTGGTAGCTTGCTTATTTTATAGCAAACATGTTATGGTAAAGAGAGACAGTATAAGCTAAAATATATTAAGTCAATTTTAAGCCCTGATATGTTTCCAAATATTTATTTTATAAAATTTGCAACTAAATTACTTTTACTTATTACCTCCAGGATCGAATATAAAATCTTATTTGGCTTTTAAGTCTCTTTACAACTTGGCCTCTTTCTACCTTTCCAACCTTCTTCCACTTTACTCTCCTCAAAGTTCTCTACAATCCAGTGACATCTGGTCTCCTGGGTGTTCCTTGCACATAGCACTCCATCTCCAAGCTCTGTGTAGTGCTCTCCCTCCTCAACTTGGTCACTCCTGACCTCCTTCAAGTCCCAGCTACAATCCCACCTTCTGCAAAAGCCTTTACTGATCGCCCTAAAGCTGGTGCCTTCCCTCTGAGGGAGCTTACAATTCACTCTATCTATCTATGGTTTCTATGTACAAAAATAGTTGTTCAATAGTTGATTGCAAATCATCTCCTCCAATAGAATGTGAGGCTCCTCGAGGGCAGGGGCTGTTTCTGCATTTCTTTGTATCCCCATCTTAGTACTGCGGGGCTTGGCTTAATTAAGTGGTTAATAAATATGTATTGTTGTTGTTCTAACTTAATGAAATCCTATTTCAATACTGGTTCCCAAAAACTAAAGGGCCTAAATGGGAATAAAATACTATTTTATAGGCCCTAAGTTATCTTATAATAATCACTCTAATGTTGGCATACTGTTTCCATAAGTAAATGATTTATTCTCTAATCGTAAGTAAATCTTTTTATTTCACTTAATTTATAGTTAAGCATCAAATTCTTGAAGAAATCGCTGAACACTATCTGACCTACAGTATCTCATATCAATGAACTGATATTCATTTTGTCTCCAACAATCAGAAAGATCAAAAGACTTAAGTTTTAGGATAGTATTTTTTCCAAAGCAATAATGTCAAAAATACAACTGTCTATGACAAGTCTCTAAACTAGATGAGAGTAGAATAAATAAAATGTGAACAGCTTTACCATAAACGATAGCAAGATGTAAAGCTGTTGCTCCATTACACTGGTGATTGGGGGCATTGACATCAATTTCAGCAAAACGCAAAAGAAGAGACATGATATCTGCCTTTCTGGTGTTGACTGCAGCATGAAGTGGAGTATTTCCATTTTCTGCTGCTTGGTTTACATTGGGAATAGGAGGCTCCTAGAAGAGAAATTGAGGGGAAATTATAGGCTGTGAAGAAATGACAAAAAAATTTTTTAAAGGACATTGGTCATTTTTTTCACAGCGAAAGTATGAGTATAGTTGTGTCTTGCTTTCTGATTAAGCAATAAGATATTTCAAGACAACAAATATTCGATATTTATGGAAATAATATGTCAATGTGAGGCAATATTATAGAGTGGATAAGAGTACTAGATTTGTAGTCAGTGGACCTGGGTTCAGATTCCGACTCTTACTTATGACCTGTGTAATCTTGGGCAAATTATTTATCCTCCCTGAGCCTCTGTTCCTCATCTAAACACATCTACAATTTGAGTTGGACTGGATGGCCACCAAGGTTGCTTCTGGCTCTAGATGTATCATCTAAGACAGGGGTGGGGAACCTGCAGCCTTGAGGCCACCTGTGGCACTCTAGGTCCTCAAGCATCGCAGGCTGGCTGCACTGATCTAAGATCTTATCTCTCTTTTTGCAACTCCTTTCCACAGAGGCAGATCACAACCCACTGGTAGTCAGAGGAAATTGCCTGAGGTTCAGGTTGACTGAAGTTAAGTGAGGTGCCATCGTCAGACACCTAGTGTTGTGACTCCAGCAGGATTTGAAACCAGGTCTTCTGTAAAAGTAGGACATCACTCAAAGGACTCAACAACAGCTTCCTTAAAAGTATAGCACTCAAACCACTATGCCTGCAGTTTCTCACTAAATAGTAACTGGTAACAATAACAACAACAGCTGGTGTTTATATGGCACCTTTAAGGTTGACAGAGTGCTTTACATCCATTATCTCATTTGTTTCTCAAAGCTTATCCCAAGAGGCAAGTGCAACAAGAATTATTAGTCTCATTTAATAGAGAAAACAGGCTTAGAATAGTCGTGACCTGCCCCAGGCCATGGACCAAATTAATGTTAAAGGTGGTATTTAAACAAAGGTCCTACCTTGCTGCCATTTTAGTATATTTTCCTATTTAAAATACAATGAAAATTGTCATAATTGTTCATCAAAATTGTATGTTGCCATTAAAATCTCTTGTGGATTATTAGTAAAGTAATTGCCTCACTCACTATCAGAAGTTTAAATTATTATCTTCATTTTCTACTTAAGATAATTTTATGATCTTAATTAACTACTTTAAACATCTCTCTCAACTGACCATGTTCAAAAAGTACTCCAGAATCTTTGGTTGATTATATATGATGGATAAAAATATCATATTTCGGTTGTTCTCATCTACAACATTAAGGTCAATCTGGTGGCTTTTTATTAGATAATGTAAGACATCGACGTATCCCAACTGAATGCATTGAAAAGCTCTAAAAAAAAGACAACAGTGTAATCATTTTAAATGAACAAATACAGACAACTGGATACTTAGGCAAGAAGGTACTACAGTAAAAGAACAAAAATAACCACAGCCTAGCATTCTAAAATATCATTAAAAGTACCAAATGAATCACTAAAATGTGGGAAAAAGTAGAAATATGAAAACCCTAGGCCTGGGATTTTTGTGGAAAACTATATAAGCTATATAATTCAGTTTCAGTTATCTTTTACATACTAAAACTTTCTAGTATATAGAAGATTAGTATTCTCTAGTAAGATAGACACAACAATCATAGAATAAAATTTTCCCTTTTCTGGACTAGATTTATGATCTAGTGTTTAAAATAGACTTATGTTCAACATGTCATTGTGATGAACTATATGAAAAATTATTTAAGGGAAAATAATTTAGGGATAAAGACTATTTAGATTATTGTACATAACCCATTTTATTTTTAATGTTGAAGAGGTGGGAGGTGAGGAATTTGGTTTGAGGTATGCTATGATCTCAATCCTTCCTCCATTAAAATTGAGTTCTATCTTAGAATATTCATGTTCTACACCCCCAAAAGAGCGGCATAAAATAAGACAAAATAAGCAACAAAATAAGAAAGACTCCATATTAATATTAAAATATTAAAACAGCATTTTTTTTGTGGTAGCAAAGACCTAGAAACAAAGTAGATGCCTGTCAATTGAGGAATAGCTAAACAAACTGTGGTATGCAGATGTAATCTAATACAGTTCTCTCTTCCACATCTCAACGTTCCCCATCTTGGTTTTGATGCATTGTGAGACAACATACAAAATTAAATGTGAATTTTTGGGGAGTTTTGCAGAAGCCACAGATGACATGTGAAGGCCAGCAGGCAACACAGAACCTATGACCAAATATTCAACACAAATTTTATGATAAGGTACTGTAAACACCCCAAAAAAGAAAAAGAAAAATTCAGACTTCTCTGGTATTAAAAGAAGGCCAAAAGATTTTACTTGGATTTTCCAGATCGGGGCGGGGGAGGAGGAAGAAATCTGCACCTTTAAACTTCCACGATGTGGAAGGGATAACTATTATTGTGCCATAAAAAACAATGAGCATGATGAATACAGAAGCATATAAAGTCTTACATGAACTAATGCAAAGTGAAGTAAGTAGATGCAGAAAAACAATAAATACCATGACTACAGCAATGTAAATTAAAAGAACCACACAAAAAAATCAAAATTGAATGTTGCAAAATTATAAAGAGTAAGCTTGATCCTCAAAGAAGAAAGAGTTGACACCACCACCTCCTCCTTTGTAGAAGACAAGGTTCACAGGTATATAGTACTGCATACAAAGTTGGATTTTTTTTCTCTTTGTTGATTCATTTCATTGCTTTTTTTTTCTCTTTTAAAAATTCTTTGTTATAAGGGATCTCTCTGGAAAGGGGAGGGGCAAGAATACAGGGGAAATTGTGAGTGATGTAAAAATAAAAGATCAATTTCCCTCAAAAAAAAAAAAGAGGGAACATTCATGCCTTCAGTCCCAAATTAATCTAAAAGAAAACAAAGCTCCAAAGTCCTCCTTTACCTTTTCTTCCTCCTCAATCCTTAACTCTATGACAGCCCCACCATTTATCTTCTCAGCTTCTACTTAACTACTAAAGAGAGGAATCAGTACTGTACAATCTTGCCATTGTGCCTACTACCCTTGTCGTTTGTTTTTGAAGAGGACTAATGACATCACTCTCTTCCAGAGTTATCGAAGTCTAGTGGCAAGACGACTGGTGATGGCCAGGAGGCAGTGGATGTCTGGTGTCCACAATGTCTGACCAAGCTCTGAGTGCTCTCCACAGTGCCTGCTTCGGCTGCCTTCATGGCAATCGGAACAAATTGTTATTCTGGGAAGTCTTCACATGGTTGGGGTAGAATTCCCCCTACTCACCACCAGGTTTGAGGACTGTTGTTTACCCTCAACCTGGTTTAGCCCATTTGCCAAGACAGTTTTACTGGGGCGTGGCTGCTGCACATGCTACAGCTTCTTGGAGCCACAGGGTGAGAGTTGAGTGACAAGTGGACACCAAAGGTGGATGAGCAGCACTAAAAAGGGCTCAGGAAGCCCTCATATCAGAGGTGCTAGTCTGAAGTGGATAGAGTGTAAGGCTTGAAATCAGGAGGTCTCATCTTCCTGAGTTCAAATCTGGCCTCAGACACTTACTAGTTGTGTGACCCTGGGCAAGTCACTTAAACCAGTTTGCCCCAGTTCCTCAGCTATAAGATGAGCCAGACAAGGAAACGGCAGACTACTCCAGTATCTTTGCCAAGAAAACCCCAAATGGGGTCATAAAGAGTTGGATACAACTGAGAGGACTGAACAGCTCTATTATCTAAGGAAGAGGCAAGCCCTCTTCCTGGTCTAATTTTTTTTTTTACCTTTGATAGCATTCTCTATTGTCTATTCCCAGAACTCATAAGCTTCCATTTTTCCCATCTTCAATCTCTCCCTAGCTCTTGGCTCCTCCATCTTTCCACTTATAAAGATGCTCAAGTCTCCTCCATGTTTAAGGGGAAAAAACCCAAAACACCAAATCATTCCCTTGATATTATCAACCTCTCAAACTTTCATATTCTCTCCTCCCTTTTACTACCAAATTCCCAGAAAGAGTTGTCTATACTCACCACCCATTCATTTCTCAAGCCCTTCACAATCTGGCTTTTGACCCCACAACTTTACTGGAACTGCTCTCTCCAAGTTTACCAAAGACTTAACTACTAATTTTTCTTTTTTAGTCTTCATTCTCCTCAACCTCTTTGCAAATTCTGACACTGACTACTATACCTTTCTCCTGGATACCCTCCTAGGTTTCCTTGAGTCTGCTCTCTCATTTTCATCTTATCGGTGACCATTTCTTCTTAAATCACTTTTGCTGGATTATCATCCAATTTTTTACCCTCTTCTCCTTTCCCAGTCTGGGTGTCCCTTGAGGCTCTATCCTAGAAGACTTATTTTGTCTTCCTTGGTAATCTCATCAGCTTCTCTACATTCACTTATCATCTTTGTTGATTCCCAAATCCATCATGTTACCAGCATTTTCTCCAAAACTACTCTTATTTATTGCCAGTTGCCTATTATTATACCTCTGCCTTGATGTTCTGTCAGCATTTCAAAGTTAACATTTCCAAAAATGAAAATAATCTTTCCCTCTACCCCAAACTTTCTTATTTCTATTGAGGTAGTATTACCATCTTCTCATTCAGCCTGGATTCTTGATTCCCTATTCAATCAGTTGCCAAGTCCTGTTGATTCAATCTCCATAACAACTGTTGCATCCTTTCTCCTTCTCTTTATTCTCCACATGACCACTGCTCTAGTTCATACCCTTATTGCCCCTCATCTGAACTGCCATAATATTGTCCTCAGAGGTCCCTGCTTCCAGTCTTTGCCCCTCCAACATAACCTCTCTATAAAGCCGCCAAAATAACATACTGAGTGCGGGCCTGCTTGGCCATGTCACTCTTCTGTTTAAAAACCTTCAGTGGTCTCACGGTCTCTAGAATGACACCTACCTCAGCTTGACATTTAAGGCCCTCCACAATCTGGTTGTAGCCTATTTCACAATACATCCCTTCAAATACTAGTACAAACTGTATTAGCAAGGCTCAGAACTCAACATTTTTCACTCCCTGTGTGTATACATTCATACAAGATATTCCTGAGGCCGAGAAGATATTCCCTCCTCAATCCTACCTCTTAAATCCTTAGCTTCCTTCAAGGCTCAGTTTGGGTAGATACTTCCTTTATGAATCCTTTCCTGGATGCCCCTAGTTGTTAGTATTCCCTCCCTCCCTCCTCAATTTAACTGTGCACATACTGCTATTCTCATGGTAAAATGTAAATTACATGAGTGCACTAGACTTAGGTCTTCCCCAAATCTCACTGTGACACCTACTACGTAATGCTGGCAAGTCACTGAACTGGATTGTTTCCTCCTCTGTAAAGTGAAGAGATGGAGCATAGGGCCTCTAAGGTGCCTTCCAGCTCCAAATCTATGGTTCCATGGCAGGGATTACATAAGTGTTTTGCACTGTATCCCTAATGACTAACAGAATGCCTTGCACATAAGAAGTACTTCAATATTTGTTAATTTTAAATTTTATTTACATGCTATGGTGATTTCCTAATACAAAGTCAAAACATAATTGGTGACGAGTTGATTTAAGCCAACAATTTAAAGTCCCAAATATTTGGCTCTGGCCTACATTTCCAGAATACTTCAGGGGGCGGAGCCAAGATGGCAGAGTGAAAGCAGTGACTTGCTTGAGCTCTCCCCCAAACCCTTCAAATACCAGTAAAAAAAAAAAAGCTCTAAACAGAGTGCTTCATATTACTTTCTTCACAAACTCTGTATTTAAATAAAACTGACCTACTTGCTGTTCCCCAAACTCAGCATTTCATCTTTCCCCTCCAAACCTGGGTAGAAGCTGTCTCTCATGTCTGGTTTTTAGTGTGTTAAGCTTCTTTTAAGGTTTAGCTCAGGTACCATCATCTCCCACAAGAAGCCTTTCCTGATCTCCCTAATAACTATCAGTGTTTTTTCTCTTCTCAAATTATCTTATTTTTAACCTATTGGTTCATAAGTTGCATGCACCAGTATAAACTCCTTGAGAACAGGGCCTTTTTCGTTTTGCCTTTGTCTTGCGTATATTAGGGACTTAATATAGCTTTATTAAATTTAATTATACTGAAAACCAGGTTTCTACTTGATAAGACAACTTATATCAAGAAGAAATCAAAATGAAAAAAATCACAAATATCTATATATCACTTTTTCAAAGGTCACATTAATTTTTAGGGCTTACAAGTATTAAAGCAAGTATTTCTACGAACTAATCAGGATTTTTAAAAAATTCATATCAAAGATCTTCATCACCACAAATAGATCACCATGTTTCTGTCCACTTATAAATGGTATGACTAAAATCTGAACTAAGCCTAACATTTGAGTTT